CAGCAGGTAGAGGTCGGTGGCGTTGAGGAGGCGGCCGGCCCGGGCGTCCCCGCGGGCCCAGCCGGACACCAGCTCCTGGGCCAGGCGCAGCAGCAGCGGCCGGCCCAGCGGCTCGTCGCCGTGCATGTTCCCCACCAGCTTGACCTGCGGGCGGCCGGGGATCGGGGCCCCGCCCGGCTCCGCCTCGGGCCGCGCGGGCTCCAGCCCCGCCGTCAGGCGCAGCACCCACAGCGGCCGCCCCTCCACCGACTGCCCGATGCTGAAGAGCCGGGCCAGGCCCGGCGGGGCCCCCTCAGCCAGCGCCCGCAGCGCCGCGCCCAGCTCGGCCGAGCGCAGGTAGCCCGGGGCCTGGCCCGGGGCCTCCCCCTCGCCCGCCGCCGCCTCCGCCTTCTTGATGTGGGCGCCGCCCGCCGGGCCCAGCCCGAGCAGCAGCCACAGCACGAGCCGCCCGGCCATGGGGAGAGACGCGCGGCCACACACAGGGCCCAGCCACCGCACCGGAGACGGGAGACTGGCGCGCGGGGGGGAAGGAGGGGTGGACAGCGGTGCAGGCGGCCAATAGGAGGGCAGGGGCGGGGACAGCTGAGGAGGTGACCAATGGAGGGGCAGGAACGTCTGAGGAGCTGGCCAATGAAAAGCAGGAACAGGGACAGCTGAGCAGGTGACGAATGGGAAGGCAGGGCCTACTGAGGCGTACCAATGGGAAGGCAGAGGCCGGCACGAAGCGGATGGGGGCCAATGAGGGAGGAGAGAGCGAGAGAAAGGGGAAAGGAACCAATGGGGGAGGAGGAGACTGGGAAGGGCGGAGCGAACGGAGAGGTAACATCCCAATGGGGGAGGAGAGGACCCGGATGGGCGGGGCGAGAGATGGACCAATGAGGCAGCCTGAGGGGGGGGGGGGTAAGGCCCCATGCTAGGCCAGGTGTATTAAAAAAAAACCGGAGTTGGTAACGTAACCAAGAGGGCGTGGCCACCCTTAAAGAGGCAGTGCTCCGCGCAGCAAGGCTAACGTGTCCAGCTCGGACGTGGGGGGC